AAGCACGTTCTATAGACCTTTTCTTGTATTCTATGTACTGAATATGCTTCAAAACTATATCGGGGCGGTGGGGTAGCCTAGTGGTAAAAGCGTTGGCTCGTTACGCCGAAGACCAGGTTCGAATCCCCACATGGGTACAATGTGTAAAGACCATTTCTGGTGTCCCTCGCCATGATGTTGCTGGAATATTGGTAAAAGCGGCGTAAAACCAAACTCAGTCAGTCAGTCAGTCATAACTATATTATAGTGTTTCAAACACATGCTCTGTCAAAAAGATTTCATGGTGACAATCACCAAATTGTCTGGTCTAGACCTGATTGTTTAAAAAACAACATCGCACGGCTGTAATAGTGCTGAAACAAATGTATGCACATGATATAGTCAGAATTGTACAATCGACTCTGCTTTTAGCAGATATTTCTTATGGATGTAGTGAGAATTTTGTCTCATCTATTTCCATTACGTGTAACATGTTCATTTGTAAATATTTGTCATACATTTATATCAACATCATCTATGGAGAAAGCTTATCAACAATTGCTTGTACTGGATGAATGTGCTCGCACAGCCAAATAGAGAGAGTTCCCTGTGTTTGATTAATACCAGCGTCACACGGAAAGAAATTATTTAGAGAATTGAACACAACATGAAATGTATACATTATTCATGCTATGATATTAGACCACAACCCATTTGTCCTGAAGATACAAGGAAGTAGAGTATCAGATTTATGGGGGAGTCACACTGACAATGTCAACATGTTCTGTTTCATTTGGAATGTTCTTGATCTGAAACATCTTTTGATATTCAAGAATAGTTATTATTCATTCTGAACTCCAAAGTCTTAAGGTTTTAACGCGAGAAAGGAAGACCAGAGAATGGGGGAAGCAATGAATCGAAGAGATGAATTGAATGTTCATTTCAAGAAAGTGAAGCACGTAATAACATGAAAAACAAGTTATTTGCCATTTCCTCTTCTACTGTTGTTATCTGCCTTGCTTGATTATCCGGGCCGTAAACAGAATTACCTCCCTTTATCGTCATTAACTCCACGGTCAACATTCTTTTGAATCTGGGCTTTATAAAGACATGTGTTTTAGGCTACGTCGAATAATGCAAAGAAACCTACCTTATAACAGAGCATAGCTGTACTTGCATATAACAGAGCATAACTGTACTCGTCGGGAAAAGAATCGAATTTGGACGCATCTCATTGTGACGAGGTCAGATCGCCTTGACATGTATGGGCAGCTGTGTCCATATTTAGTGGACATACATATCAGACGGTCTTCGTCTATAAATGGCGTCAGATTTATTGATATGAATCCATATACTTATGGCTGGTGACTGACAGACTCGGCAAGTATACAGGCGTCTCCTTACCTCAGGATGGATGATCATCTTGTGTTTGGCTCACGTCCACTAATTGCACGTCGAAGGAAGACATCTACATGTTCTTGAGCTGACAGCATGTCTCGTCTGGTAGTAGTCTTTAAATCACACTTACTGGTATACCAGGTTGAGTGTGGTGGAGCTGTCACATTAAAGCACCATATTGAGAACGGAATATTCTTTTGGCACAGACAGTGTGACAATAAACTGAATTGTTAAACATGAGGATGAAGGAACCTTATGTTCCTTGTAATTTCCTTCAAAGAAGGGACAGTTAGACGAGGAACTATTTTGTCAGCCTGATTCATTCGGTGTCTGTAGAGCTGTCTGACTGACAGACAGATGTGATAGGTCATAGCGAGTAAGTTCTTCACACACATTCCAGTCTGTAACATTTTCCAGTGTATGAGAGTAATGAGAATAACTAGACCCTGGGAAAGCAGTCCGTCAGGGTTTGTGTCATTTCTAGTCTTGAAACATATAAGAACGCCATAACGCCAGATTCGATTATGTCAAAGCGTGTCAGGTTAATGTGGACGGAAATCACGGATATTTCCACCTTCATTCGAATACGACCATGGACAACGGTGAAGGATCGTAACCGAGTAACCTATCTACAAGGTTTGCAGTAGATAGTTGGTGCCGGGAGTTGGGACCACAATCAAGCGTGCCCAAGGGAGGCAACTCTGCACAGGGAATATGGCGTTTCAGGCAGCTGGGCCACCCATGCGACCGCTAATGATTATAAATAATTTTGGTCATGTCCATAACTGCCAACGTGACGATAGGCTTCAGTAATTAACCCAAAGTCTGAAGCATGAAACCGATTTGGGAAATTTAGAGGAAAAAATATGTAATAATTTCTGGGCAAGAACTATAGTCATGTTTTAAACAGTCAGACCTGTGTAATAAAAGACGACACAGGATACAGACCTGTAAATGACAAAGGAAGTTGTCTAAAATATGTAAGACTAAGATTGATCAATTACTGTATTTACTGACGTTAGGTGATGGGCGTTGATTTGGTTTATTATGATTACTATCGACAGGTGTCTGCATGTTTGGATTTGGGTGGATTTATTTAAACAGTGATGACTGATATTTTGTGTGTGAGCTTTTTGAAGTCCAAATGAATGAGCATGGCTTTTTATCGAAATTTAATCGGTCGGTGGTGATACATACACGAAGTAGACAAAGTTCTTCAAAAAGTTCTTCATATATTATCAGCATATGCATTCAGTCCCTCAGAACATCACCCGTGTTTAAAACAGACATCAATTTTATAGCCCAGAAGTACGGTTGTTGATCTCATTTGATTAACCCGTGCCTTTGAGGTAGAATTTTATACTCTAAGCACAGGTGATAATCAGGCGTTTTTCTGTAAATGGACGCTTTAAAATCCTTCAAGCGGCAACTAAGCATATTACTTCTGACAACGTCCTGAAAGAAAATCGAATATTATAAAATTAAGGGATTATTTTTCATAAGCTCATTAGCGAGCATTGCCATCTAACAGTTTTGAACCAACTAACCTCTATTTTGCATTCCTTGAATGGTCTTCCACAATTCATTTAGCAATTGCACTGATTGGATTTTTTATTGAACTACGTTGCTGCATTGGTCCACACTTGCGATGTAGTTTACTGGAACTTTCTAATGAGGGAAACTGACTGACTGACTGACTGAGTTTAGTTTTACGCCGCTTTTAGCAATATTCCAGCAATATCACGGCGGGGGACACCAGAAATGGGCTTAACACATTGTGCCCATGTGGGGAATCGAACCCGGGTCTTCGGCGTGACGAGCCAACGCTTTAACCACTAGGCTACCCCACCGCCCCCCCAATGAGGGAAACAGCCTGTGAAGATGATATGGTAGAGTAATTATGTACATGGTTCTGATAACGGCACTACTTGGCTTAAAACAGATAAAAAAGGACACGGAAGAACCAGTGATATCAGGCGCTGCAGTCAGCTATTCAGAGTTATGTCCCTTATCAGAGCCAGAATGCGCAGGTGAGACATTCAAACCCTATATTCATCTGATTATGGTTCTTTGTGTTCATATTTTCTTTGAGAGGCATTTTAGAAGTTATGAAGATGAAGGAAAACCAAGTTATTTAAATTGTCAACTTCTTTATTGCAATGAGTGCGACGTTTAGGCGTAGGTACTAACACCGTTGGTAAGAACTTTGTTTTCATCCAAAGTCCATAATGTTTCGGAGCAGTTGGGGCACTCAGTGGTTACAGCGTTCGCTCGTCACGACGAAAACGATAGTTCGATTCCCCAAATGAGTACAATGTAGTCGCTCATTGTCTGGTGTCTCCGCCGTGGTATTGCGTGAAGCAATACTACTTACTCCCAATGTTAAATATACAGAATATGCAAGTATACCGATCCGATAAGGTGCTTTCCATAATGTGTTACATGTCCATGTGTGAATGGGGGCGGTGGTGTAGCCTAATGGCTAAGCGTCCATTTCTGGTGTCCCCGCAGTGCTACTGCAAACATATTGAAAGAAAATGGCGTAAAGCCACACTCACTCATATGTGTAAATGTCTTTCTTTTATTTGTATTTATATCATCTGTACACACAAAACCCAAAGAAGAGGGTTCCTTGTGTTTTGATTCATACCTGAATTGATTCACTGGAAGAAGCAAGATAACAAATTGAACACAACATGAACTGCATACATTATTTGTTCCATATGTTTTTCATTTTCAAGCATGATACAGTAGAAACAAGAGACTAGTGTGTTGGGTTAATGGCGAAGTCAGCCTGACAATGTCAGCGTGTTCTGTCTCCAGGCATTGCACTAGGAACATACTTTATGTGAAACAGCATTCCCTCACACCTGTGGTGCCAAACAGCTATCATTCATTCTCAAATTCCAAAGTCAGGTTTTGCCCTTTCCGCTTGTTGTGTTTTATGGTGCATATGCTTGACACTTGTGAGCATCAAGACCAGGAAGAGAAGTACCTCCCTTTGTGTTTTGAATGTGGGCTGTTACAGACGTGTGATGTTGCAAGAAAACCCACCTTAGAGCATAAGCACATGTTCAATTCTTATAATTGTAATCAACAGGGTTTCTACCTGTGGTGATAATGTTGTAAATAATGGTCGCTATATCCATTGACAATAGCATTATGAGGAGATGGATGATAATGATGATGACCATGATGATGATGATGATATTACATACATACATACATACATACATACATACATACATACATACATACATACATACATACATACATACATACATACATACATACATACATACATACATACGACCGCCTCCGTGGTGTAGTGGTTAGAGCGTCCGCCCGGAGAGCGGAAGGTCGTGGGTTCGATCCCCGACCGCGTCATACCAAAAGACGTTAAAATATGGTACTTGTTGGTCCCTGCCTGGCGCTCGGCATTAATGGGTACAACAAGGACTGGTCGGCTCGGAGTCAGTATAATGTGTCTGATAGGGGTATTCATGCTTCACTGCGACATGGTATCTCAGTGAGCTAGCACTATAAAACCAGCTTCAGTCTGGGCTAGTACAAGCAGCCGCACATACACATACACACGCATGCACGTCGTCATATGAGCGAAATATTCTCAAGTACGACGTAAAACCCAATTTCACCTCACCTTACATACATACATACATACATACATACAGGTATATATATGGTCCTTTTTTAAAGCCATAGTTCGCACAGTTCATGAACAGCACGCGATAGGAATCGAACCTCATCTGCCGCTCTCCGAGCAGACACTATTCAAAGCTGTGAAAAACTAATTCAGTCTCATCCTCGTCTCTGAGTTGACATGAAATTTAACAGAATTTCAATCTGGTCTAAGGGACAGACAATTCCATATTATAAGAAGGAAAGGAGGGTTATGTACATATATTTTCAGCTACATTTCTGCAAAACCAGGTATTTTTATTGGGGGGGGTGGTCAGCTATGAGACTAACATGTTTTAGAAAATAACACTTCCAAAATTGTATTTTTGTGTCAAATTCTTATTTCAACAGTATTAAGCATAATTATTGTTTTGAAGTATTTCCGGGGACAATTTCTTTCTTTCAATACAATCACAGAGCCCCTACAAAAGATCGGTTCCTACAGAGAGCCCCTGCTAAGGACAACCTACGTACAGACAAAGATCTGGAAAAGAGCAGCCACACAGTCACATTTCCGAAATAGGCTCTTGTTTGACGTAATGTATGAATCAGAAAAATCTTCTATCAATTCCTTAAGAACATTGTTAATATCGTCATGAAACAAGGACACTCGTTGATATTTGTTTCATTAAATACTCACCACCAGGGGGCGTATATTTTACAATCAAGTGGCACTTCCGGGAATTGGTCATTTGCTGTAATTGAAATACGCTCGGAGCTTCTGCATTTCTTTCTTTTTCGGCTGTAAGGATTTAGCGTTGGTGCTTCATATCACCGCATGAATTAAACTACAGGAAACTAGGTGGACTGACCCTACCACGTAAGGGTGCTTCTTTGGGCCATATTTGACCTACATGGTCGGAGAGTGTGAGTAGTGTTTTACGCCGCTTTTAGCAATATTCCAGCCACACACTACACAGAGTTTGCCCATATGGACAATCTGACACAGGTTTCTGTATGTATGTGATATTCAAGTTAATCAGTATTTTTATGGCTTATTTACATATACACAACCTGGAGACGGTATAGCGGCAGTATAAGCCTTCAGTTAAACACTGATGTGCCGAACCTCGAAATATCAAATCCTTGCTGTCTGGATATAAAGGTGGCTTGTCCACTTGGTATTTGTGCAATTCTCTTCAGTTCCGACACTTCGTGTTTGACTGTATTTGTTTACAGTCCCTTACACTTTCCGTAAAGATGATAAAGTAAAAACACACTGCTTTCATCGGTGTACGATAAAAATCGTACTGATTTGTAACACCAAGGAAATTTCGGACAACACTTATCAGTGTCTATTTTTCAAAACGTCAAAGTATTTGCACTTGCCTTTGTATCATCGGATACGAAATTTGATATTCTACATTTCTGTTTAATTTTCATAGTCGTAGGTTGATCGAGTGCCACGCGAACGAAATTCTCGCACAACGTTCACTTTTCAGATCTCACGGAAATGTGCGTCAGAAAAAAATCGGCACCGTGGTTTTTAAACCTAAAAGATTAAAACATTGTCCTGTCAACTTTCTAACCTATATTATGTAATTTTGAGATGAGATCTACGTTACTGTTTGCCGTCTTATGAGATCTTGTTTCTCCAAATTTTAGTTAAAATACCTTGTACATGGTACAATATCAATTTAGTTTTGGTAAAAATTAGAAACCCCTTAATGACGTTACGTCTTGACCCTTTAATGACGTTACGTCCTAACCCTTTACACAACCTAAACAGGTTAGTCTTCAAATCTTCATCTCAATAGTTGAATCCCAGTGGCCTAAAACAGACCATACATGGAGTTCATGTCCAGTACTGCGTGTTGAATGAATTCCTGTTAAAACCTATTGCCCGAATAACCACGAGTGACTCCAAGGATAATGTAATGAGTAACGAGTTTTGAGCATGAGTTAACAACACAAGAGTCTTTCACCTCGCCTGTGACGAGAACATAGCCCATTGTACTGTCGGCAAGCCTTGCCTAAAGGAGTATCCCGGAGGCAGGTTGGGAATTTTCACATCTTTATGTTTCATATCGCTAATTACTGCCGGGAGAAAAAATGCCGTAAATTGGTTAGGAACGTTTCCCTTAGCGACATCAATGTCGTTAATCCACTTACCTTTCAATGAAGCTCAATAACGACACGCCGTAAGGCAGTCTGCGATATTGCCGTATGTTGGATATTAGCCTCATTTGGTGAGATCGAGAGCGGTAACATGCCCGTATTCATGCTCTCCCCGCCATTAGAGACCATGCATACACATGCTTCATTAAGGACAGGCTATGTGGCGTGTTTCTTTGCCCATACAATTCTCTTGGATGAATGAGTGTTAATCAAACGAACGGCATGAAAAAATAAAAGAAAATGTGTTTAGTTCACACAGAGCACGAATGAAGCTCTTGCGGAGGGCCACTGGTTGTGCAGAAGGTATGTCATTAAAAACTCCAAAATACACGGTTCCTTGGTCCAAATCCCAAACATGTTCCGGATTGCTATCTTTTGATCAGTGCCCTCGCTTTTAATGGTCTTCACCACAGCACATATGTCAAGGATAATTCTCAAGTAACTACAGTGTCGAGGCTGTTTATGTTTGTCCCGCTATAAAAGCGTGCGTTTCTGTTTGCGTGTAGAACAGGATGTGCTTATTGGTGTGATGACTATCTGATGGTGAATCGTGGACGCATTGTCGTGATATGGCTAGAATTAGAGATATTCTATTACTTTTGTCGCTTTTATTCAAATTAAAATGCCACAGGGAAAACACTCCGCAACATTCCAGCTATGTGGCGGCGATCTGTAAATAATCGAGTCTGGACCGGACAATCAAGTGATCAACAGCATGAGCATCGATCTACACAAATGGGATACGATGACATGTGTCAACCAAGTCAGCGAGCCTACCCACCCGATCCCGATCTGAATATCAATTCTAACCCGCATCTTCAAGGGTTGATTTAATCAGATTGAAAGGTAAAGTTAATACATACTAAATTCAATAAAATAAATTTAACACAAAATCTTATTTAATCAGATTGGAAATACAGCCTGAAAGTTAAAGTAAATAAAACTAAATACATTAAAACAAATACAACACAGCTATACTGCAGGGAAATATCGTTCGGTACATTTGTATATTATCTTTAACCCCGTGCCTCAATAACCATGAAGGTTTGAACTACGAGATTTAATCGGCGTATATTTAGCTTAGAATTACTGCAGGAGGCAAATATTTACATTGCAGAAAGAGACCTTGATAAGTGAACTCATTCCAGTTAAAATAATAGCGTGACGTCATGGATGTATCTTAGTCTGTCACACAGACCCTGAAGCAAATACATCCAAGAAAGACCATGCATGTCTAGAAAATGTGGCAAGTCTAGATTTCCACAGCTTCAGGGCTCCTCTTCATTATATTTCTTTCTTTTTTTTACCATGAGCTTTTTTTCTGTAAAAATGTTCATTTCACAGACTAGTTCAAGATTTAAGATTCAAGATTCAAGATTTTTATTTGTAGAAAGGCCATATCCCAAAGTACAAATGTACAATATACCATAAGATTCTACAGAGTTATTTCTTTAGTTTTATACATTCAAACACATGTTTAAGACATTTAGCAAGATTTAACAGAAAGGTGTTATTATTTGATTGGCACAGGTTTCAAACATTATTATGGTTACCACTACTACAATTTGGGATGAATCGCTTTCTCTATGTTACAAAATATACACAATCATACAGTACATGTTTTTCATTCAGCATTACATTACAGTGTTTACAAATGTAGGAGTTATTAGTAAAGACATTTTTCTTAATTAGATATCCACTTCTAAATAAATTTGATACAAGTCTATGCTTATGGGAACTAATGTTTAACAAATATTTTTCACAATTAAGCAAAGCATATGAGAATGATAAAATGTGAGAGAATCACTCTGAAGAGAATAGTGCCAGTTCTGATAAGCACATTCTTTAACACGTTGACTAAAGATATAAATGAAATGATCTGGATCCCCAACCTCTTGGCTTATCCAAACAAAACCATAGCCATAACGAAAAAGTAAATATTTTACTTGATTGGCCCAACTCGGCCTTTTTCTCTCAAGAATGGACAACAGCAACATAATAACATTGGAAAGCATATCTTTGACGTTGCATTCTTAACAATCGTAGCCAATACTTAATACATTTAATATGATAGGAAACATAAAGTGGATATCTTCCACACTCCCCGTATGATACAGCATTCGACGATTTATAACTAATATGGAGAACAAATTTACAAAACTTCCTATGAATAATTTCAATATTACTCCTTTCTTCCCAACCCCAAATTTCAGCCCCGTATGTAAGAATTGGAGTAATCTTTTTATCAAATAAAAAGAACGCATCTTTTACTGTAAATTCAAAACGTCTGATCAAAGATTTTATAGGCCATAATGCTTTACTTGCCTGCTCCGCTAATGTTTTACAGGCTCTAGTCCATATCAATTTAGGCGTTATCATTAACCCCAAATATTTATATGCATTTACTATTGCCATAGGATTCCCATTAAAGAATATTTTGACAGAGGCCCACCCATTTTAAAGACAATTATTTTACTTTTAGCTAAATTAATGTCCATACCCCATCTATAAGAATATGTAGGGCATCCAATCGTCTTTGCAACTTAACAACGCTATCTGCAATTAGTATCAAATCATCAGCAAACAACAATAAGGCAAGACTAGTTGTTAGTCTAGATGTATCTGAAACATGTGACCTGCTTGGGTCAAGTTACATCATTCAGCGGTTCACTGTGACATACAATGGAGTGTTAAAACATTATAAATAAAGATTCCTGTTCCGTGATGCTGGCTAGGAATACATATCCGCCTTTACAAGTAGATTTACCCCCAACCTGTACATACAGATCAATAATGTCGGAACAGAGTAGTTCCTGCAGTGAGTGGACGTTAACGCTGATAGTATCAATTTATATTTCAAACCTAAGTGATAAATGTTAGGTCCCCCAAGTCGTTCTATTAGAAAGCACTCAGCGTTCTTAGAAATTGATGTTTCTTTACTGAACGGCATGGGAAGTTGGGAGGCATCGTTCGTCTGGAATTATTCTTAGGGATAGGCTGACTTGATGTAAAAGGCATGGAAGGAGTGTCGGATGGTCTGGCTGGCTGGCTGGCTGGCTGTCTGGTTGGCTGGCTGTTGGTTGTCTGTCGGTCGGTCGGTCGGTCGGTCGGTCTGCATGTTTGTCTGTCCGTGTCCGTCTGTCTGTCATGAACGTTTTTTAAATTAGTAAATTAGTAACAATAAGTTGGAAAACACGGAAAATCGGTTTGACTCAAAGTGTTTAAAATTTAATACTTGAAAGAAATTTGAATGATCTTAAATTGTTATTCAATTTTAAAGCCTCGCGGAAGCTACATCAATAACCTGGGGCTATAATACCTTGGCAGGGAATGTTTCCATGCAATTAAAGCCATATTGTTGTTTCTCATCCTCGTCAAGCGTCCCCCATCTTCCACACTGAGTGTTCAACAGGACTATCCATAAGAGGTTTAGCATGAGAGGTTCACATGGATGTACAGCAAAGGCACTGTAAGTCCCCATTGTCCCTAGTATGGTGATCTACCTTCAGTTCCTCGCGATCTATAGCCCATTTTTATGTTGTAATATCCTAAATAGTATACAATTTTATGTTACATGCTAGTTTTAAATTTCTAACTGTGATATACTAATTCTTTTACTGTCCTTTGGCGACAGATTTTACGAAATAAAAGTATAAAGTATTTATTGTTTTAGTCACGATATGGCTGAAATATAGCTAAATTAACTTTAAAGTTTTACTCACTCACTCATTCATGAATATACAGCTTCTTCATTACAATATATACATTTTGGTGTAGAAGGTGAGTAGTTACAAGACAAGTCTTTATTCATGTGGATGTAGGCCATCGGACCATGGTACAACGTTATACATTGGCAGCCTTCAAGCTGTAGCGACCACGATTGTTAGCATAGAAGATAAACATGGCAAGATTAGTTAGTTAGTTAATAACAGGTTTATCGCCTCAGACACGTTGTATATATTGTAATAAAGACGTTGGATATCCATATAACTATCCCCTTGATTATCACACCAACTTGGGAATGCCATTCAAAGACGTAAACAAGAAATAAGTATGCACCTTTCTAACTTAATTCCACCCGGGGAGCGGAAGGTCGCGGGTTCGATACCCGGCCGCGTCAACCCAAAAGACGTTAAAATATGGTACTTGTTGGTCCCTGCCTGGCGCTCGGCATTAATGTGTACAACAAGGACTGGTCGGCTCGAAGTCAGTATAATGTGTCTGAGTGGGGTATTCACGCTTAACTGCGACATGGTATCTCAGTGAGCTAGCACTATAAAACCAGCTTAAGTCTGAGCTAGTACAAGCAGCCACACATACACACGCATGCACGTCGTCATATGAGCGAAGTATTCTCAAGTACGACGTTAAACCCCATTTCACCTCACCTTATTACTAAATTATGAAATCAGTGAATGACAACAAAAGATCAATTTCTTGTGTTTGCTTCCCAGTTTTGGATACAAAGACATGCAATCGCCATGTCGGCAAGCCTGACAACATCGTCCTGACTGTCGCCTCTTACTATAGGGACCCGTGAAGATCCGGGGTAGAATAGGTCTTCAGCAACCCATTCTTGTCATAAAAGGCGACTATGCTTGTCGTAAAAGGCGACTAACGGGATCGGGTGGTCAGGCTTGCTGACTTGCTTGACACATGTCATCGGTTCCCAATTGCGCAGATCGATGCTCATGCTGTTGATCAACGGATTGTCTGGTCCAGACTCGATTATTTACAGACCGCTGGCATATCGCTGGAATATTGCTGAGTGCGGCGTAAAACTAAACTCACTCACTCACTCTTACTATAGGCATTGGGTTGCCGAGAACTAATTCGAGCCCGGATTTTCACGGATACACAAGATCAAAGGCCAATGAACAAATTGTACTGAAACCATATATATACATATAGGTTAAAAATCATATCAGCAGCAAACAATAATATAGATAGACAGCCAGTCTACACACAAATGTCCAGACATAGCCACAGATGAATAAGTAAAATACATGTGTTCCGATCCTGGATACAGGAAATTTAACAGTGTTGGAAGCAAACATTTGATTGGCATTATACAAGCTACTGAGTACATACGAAACACAGGATTTTGTGAATAACCTCTGGTTCATTGCAAATTCAGCAATGTTTCAAAGTAATTCTTACATCGTTATCACGCTGGACTCGTGACTGCAACCCAGTCATGAGTGGAACATATATAGGGGAACAGGTCAAAAGGGCCAAAGGACAAAAGGACCAAAACTGAAAAGTCAAAAGGGCCAAGGGAAAGTCAAAAAGGCCATAGATTTAAGTCGAAAGGGCCAAACTTTTAGAAAATTGTAAGATTAGGAGAAGCTTGTAACAAAACAGCAGGTTTGACTGTACAAGATGATCCCAGCTCTTCACAAGGGAGCCAGCCTCCAGCTGTTACTGACTGACTGACTGACTGAGTTTGGTTTTATGCCGCTTTTAGCAATATTCTAGCAACATCATGGCTGGGGACACCAGAAATGGGCTTCACTCATTGTACCCATGTGGGGATTCGAACCCGGGTCCTCGGCGTGACGAGCCAACGCTTTAACCACTGAGTGAGTGAGTGAGTGAGTTTAGTTTTACGCCGCACTCAGCAATATTCCAGCTATATGGCGGCGGTCTGTAAATAATCGAGTCTGGACCAGACAATCCAGTGATCAAAAGCATGAGCATCGATCTGCGCAATTGGGAACCGATGACATGTGTCAACCAAGTCATCGAGCCTGACCACCCGATCCCGTTAGTCGCCTCTTACGACAAGATAGTCGCCTTTTTTATGGCAAGCACATGGGTTGCTGAAGACCTATTCTACCCCGGATCTTCACGGGTCCTTTAACCACTAGACTACCCCACCGCCCCCTTACAGTTACAAGTCCAGCTGCTGATGTGTGAACTGATACATGTCATCTTTAAAGGTGTTTGTGAATTATGAACATTGAACTACTTATGAATATTTGATCACATATTAACACCTGAATGTATGATGATCACATTATATATTATTACTATTATTACTACAAATTCATACAAAATAACATATAAAATTTATATTATTAGTTTATATGTACTTGTTTGAACTTGATCTACGGCCCTTTTGACTTAAATCTATGCCCCTTTTGATTTTCCATTGGCCCTTCCGACTTTTCTTTGGCCCTTTTGACTTTTTTCAATTTTGACTACAACCCCATATATAGTACATGTACTACATGGAACGATACGTTGTGCTAACAATGGTGCACAGGTAATGGATAACAAGCAGCACTCAGGTAATTGTATATATGAATCTGGCAGCAGCAACTCGCCACCAAAATGCCAGCGGCAATGGCGGATTTCATGGTCAGACACAACAATATGGTCAGAATTCCATTTACACATGCTGCAGTTATAATGAAGTCGGCAAGACATTGAAAGACGACAGCCACAATTAAACGGTTACGTACAGAGAACGTATGAAAAATGCTAAATATGCCCAACAGGCAGGACGGATAAATTCAAAAGCAGTGGTCGGTCTAGGAGATTGAGCTAAATGAAATGCTGGTTGGGAAATCGACGTCACCTAGAAATGTCATTCAAAACCGGAATAGACTACTAAGGCCTAGGGTGAGTGAGTGAGTTGAGTTTTACGCCGCTTTTAGCAATATTCCAGCAGTATCACGGCGGGGGAAACCAGAAATGGGCTTCACACGTTATACCCATGTGGGGAATCGAACCGGGTCTGTGGCGTGACGAGCGGACGCTTTAACCACTAGGCTACCCCACCGCCCCACTAAGGCCTAGAGCCATTGATAATTCATCTGATGATGACACTGATAAGAGTTAAGGTCACACTGTATTTAAGACTATGACCTTGACCCGGAAGAAGATGATGAAGGACTGGATGTTGCAACAAGTCACTATGACAACGCTGCTTCTAAAATATTCCATTGGTTCTGAAAGCCAGTGTTACATCGTCACGGTCATCAACATCTGGATGCTTCACCAGCACCGGAAACAGATGCGATGTAATCTGCAGACATCATTGTCAAGACCACACAGTGTGGATTTATGAAGGCAACCATATTTCCATCTGAACGCTATTCAATGAAGTTTAATCCACCTGCAACCCTGTGGTGGGCAGTCAAAGCTCCTCGAATGTCAGATTCCTTTTGAAGACTGGCGGAATGAAGTGTCTGGTAAACACGATCGAACATCGTCTAGACATTCCGTTAAGTATTTTTTCTCCGCTGACAATCATCAAACGTTTTCAAGCTAATTACATTCCACCAGTTCCTACTTCTTTGTTTTGTCAACAGGCTACGCTCACTCAACATTAAACAGGCAACTCGTTTTAAATGAATCGATGTCTGTTGTGTTGACGTAGAAAGACGGCTGTATTTGCAAATGGCCAACTCCAAATATTGAAGGAGTGAGTGAGTGAGTGAGTATGGTTTTACGCCGTTTTTAACAATACCACAGCGGGGGACACCAGAAATGGGCTTCAGACATTGTATCCATGTGGGGAATCAAACCCGGTTCTTTGGCGTGACGAGCGGACGCTTTAACCACTAGGCTACCCCACCGCCCTCAAATATTGAAGGAATGAAGGACATAAAAATACTCTGGTGTCTATTCTTACCCCTGCTTTTTGTTTTATGTTTTGGGGGATTTTTCTGCTATATCATTATGGCCAAAAGCATGGATATAACCAAGAGTTTCTAAACCGATACTACCTGAGTTCCCTGAATCTGTGTCCATGAGGTCAATAAAGACAATTGTTTCAGGTAACATACACATTGGAGTCCAAATATTTCCAAATACATTTTTAATGGAAAATGTCGTGAGATCAGGAAACGATCAAAATAGTGTGTATCAAATTAATAAAGGCGTATAATGAAAATATATCTTAGGGACCGTTCATAATTTATGGCTAGGGGGGGGTTGATGATGATTTTTATGGAGAAGCATGTACAATGTGAATGACCCCCCAATACTTTATGCACAAAGTAAGTGACATCCCCCTGCATGTCATGTACAAAGTCAATGACCCCCCTCCCCCTTTAAATAATTTTAAAGCATAATTTTAAAATATTTTTATGTACAAAATTGCTTTTCCCCCCCCCAACCATGTGTACAATATTGATGACCCCCCTACCTCCCCAGAACAAAATGGGTGACCCCCCTTAAAATCATCACACACATACACACACACATACACACACACCACGACAAAGTAATATATTATATATATACATGTATTTTATATATATATTTGTGCATGTGTGCGTGTGTGTCTTTGAGTGTGTGTGACTGTGTGTCTTTAACTTTAACTGTGTGTCTGAATCCGTTCAAACAAATCTCGAACAATAAAACCTAATCCGGACTAGAAAAATTTAAACGTTACAGATTTCTCCGTCAATAGATTTATAGATTCCGCCACCCAGTGTCGACCTGTCGAGCCCAGTTTGGTGCGGAAAGTTTCCTTTCGATGTTGAGACAAGTTGACTTCCATCTCAGTACTGGCTGAACCTTACACGCCGCCAGAGTCAGTGCCTGTATGGTGATGTTCCATTGAAAACGTCTCAATACTATGAAAATGGACATTTTGGAACCAGTCTCTGGAAAACGAAACAAGGCGAATGACACAATACAACATGGTCATGCTGACACGTTGCAATTAAGGACCAATTAACACTGTCTTTGTCCCGAGGGCCTGTTGGCGTCCGCCTTTCCTTGAGGAGTAATGATCGAAAATAGGACAGCCTTTGTGTATTGACTGGCATAGCTGGAAGGAGGGCTACGCAGACTGTTTTGTCGGCGACAGTGACGTCTACTGCTTCACAAACTACAACAATGATGTTGCTGAGAGACAACATAGTTTTCGCCATAGTGGATGAACGCTGGTTAAGATATGCAATTCGCTGCGGTTACTGTCAATTTCATTTTCACTGAACATTACGAACTTACTAAATGATTTCAATCCTTCATCCCTCACCGAGTTTGAGACATATGGCCTCAAACCACCATTACTTTTCTTCATTGTTATCTACAGTGTCGTGCCATAATTAATCTGGGTATTTGGATTGTATACTGCTGTATGTACCAATGTACCACTTGTCACTTCAGCCGCAAAATATCAACCTGGAAGTTGCACAAAACCAAATATTTTCCCAGTAACGTTTCTTTTTTCTCAAAACATTAAACCAAGTACTCAACAGTTATTGCATGTACATTTGTGAATAGTCTATTCTGAAAGCAACATTAAAAGCCAATATAAATGGTTATATCAGCAAGCCCCTTTTCCTAGTATAGTATGACCAGACATTATTGAGAATTTTAGGAATATGTTTAATTGGATTTCTAGTATAAACAACCTTGACCAGGTATCAAGTGTTTGGTTTCATTCAAGAGAGACAACTCAGTTAATCCTTTTTCATTAGTTTGTGAAGAGTTATCGCCCTTTGTTTACTTGCTAGCATACGACATTTTCAGTGATCCTCAGTATGGATGATTTAGAGAAGAGGAAGTTGATTTTAGAGTATTATAACAAGGACATCAGATCAGCTAAAGTGATTTCAAATAGAACAGGCATCCCTTTGTCCACTGTTTATCGTGTTTTGAAAAATATTGCAAATGGATATGGCATTGAGCACCAGGGAGGCGCAGGTAGGCCCAGAAAATTGACTGTCTGTGACAGGACGGCTTGGTATTCTTGTTTCTAAAAACAAACGAAGGAGTTTAGAAATATTGAGACTGGATATGATTGATAGAGGAACTGTGGCTGTCTGTGAGCAGACAATTAGAACTGAGCTGCATGCAATGGGTTGGCAGATAGGTCGAGGAATTCCATCAACGATCATGAAATCTGAACAAAAGGAGCGAAGGTTGAACTGGTGCTTACAGCATAGACATTTTAACTGGGACAATGTGATTTTCTCAGATGAAAGTTCTGTGTGGCTGTTTCCTAATACGTTGAGATTCTGGACCAAACAAACTGAAAAACCTTTGTATCAGCGCCCAAAGTACAGTCCGAAATTTAACGTGTGAGGTGGCATATCTGTGTTAGGGGCAACGCTCTTCTGTGTATTTGAAGGGAATATGAACAGTGAGCGGTACACAGATATTCTCTAGCGACATTTACTTCCATCTGCTCACGTGTTCTATAGAAACGTTTGGATTTTCCACCAGGACAACGACCGAAAACATCGTTCAAAGCATTCACAGGCCTGGTTTCGGACCCAAAATATGACATTATTAGATTGGCCAAGCTATAGCCCTGACCTAAATCCAATAGAAAATGTTTGGGGACTTATAAAGGAAAGTGTCAATAAGAAAAATCTGACAAACATTGCTGAATTAAAAGAAGAGGTGGTCCGATATTGGGACAGCATGGACCACGACTTTCTAACTTCTTTGATCAGTAGTATGCCCCGCCGCATTGAAGCCTGCATTGCTGCCGTTGGTGACTTGCCAAAATACTAACTATATAGAACAAGTTTTATGGATAACAACTTCTTTATTTCGTGAGTGCGACGTTTCGATACAGATTCTTGTACCGTTGTCAAGCAAGAGTGATACATGAGGTGTAGGAGCTGCATATATATACTGTATAATGAAACAACATAATAGACAAAGGAAACAACATAATTGCCATGATTGGCTAAGCAGTAAGCTGAAGAAGCCAGTGAGTACACAAAGGAATGGAAGCCAGAGATGTAGTTACAATGAGATGTTTAAACAATAGATGCAATGTTTATACAATAGATTACAATAGCTAACCCCAATCATCAAATAGAGTGGTCCGACATCACCATTCTCGCCAACAACCAAACGGACTTCACTAAACGCAAGCTCACAGAAGCCATTCACATCAAACGCCACAAGCCCACCATCAACCGTGACCAAGGATACTTCATTCCATCAGCTTATGATCCACTCCTCCACCAAGCCCAATCTATTGTATAAACATTGCATCTATTGTTTAAACATCTCATTGTAACTACATCTCTGGCTTCCATTCCTTTGTGTACTCACTGGCTTCTTCAGCTTACTGCTTAGCCAATCATGGCAATTATGTTGTTTCCTTTGTCTATTATGTTGTTTCATTATACAGTATATATATGCAGCTCCTACACTTCATGTATCACTCTTGCTTGACAACGGTACAAGAATCTGTATCGAAACGTCGCACTCACGAAATAAAGAAGTTGTTATCCATAAAACTTGTTCTATATTGTACGTCTCAACTTCTAAAATGCCACTGGAACAAAAATACTAACTGTTCACCTGTCTTTGAATCTGGAGTTATGTTCTGCTAATATACACATTTAATACGTGAGTAATGAGTGAAAAAAAATTAAAAATTACAATCTTTAAATTCTCAATAATTTCTGGTTGTACTGTACATGAAGCTAAAAAGACCAACCCCACAAAATGTCACCGGCTCGAAAATACCGGTTGCCACATTCAGCATAAGTCATGATGTTGAAAAAGGCAAGGCTAAGTGTTAAAAACATTTGTTCATTTACATTTGAAAAATACAAAACTGTACTTAAAATCATCCAATCACAGCTGTCAGATGATTCAGTCTGCACTAAAGGCTTGTTAGATTCGTCACCACTCGCCCCTTTCCGTAACCTCCAAGGAGGCTTGTCCCATTGGTAACTACTCGCCTCTTTCCGTGACCATACGGCTTGCCGGAAGGACACGAGTAGTTACGAATGGACTCGTCCCGGAATAACGCGAATCACGAATGGGCTTGTAAACTACAGAAAGTACTTGGTGTACTACAGATGCTGATTTGGTGTAGTATAACATGGATGCACCATCTCAACAAGCGGAAACACACAAAACAGCCATGAACGTGGGGGCAAATAAAAAACATACATCCATGCTTTATGATGGCTAAAAATGGAACAAAAACACAATTCATTTTTATCGTGATGTATTTGATAGGGATTGTATAGGTGTGTTTTTGAGACATAATGTTGCAATATTTCGGTGATAATGTTCAGCGTAGAAACGATTTGATAACTTTAGTTTTTAATTTTCTAAAAGTTTTCTCGTGTCTACAATCTTTTGTCAGACAGTTTATATACCACAGTTAAAAATGAAAAATATTATTTTCTGGCGTCATGTAGTTCAAGTTAATGAGACACTGACGACAAGCAGTCTACGGAATTCTTTGTCGAAAATAAATTCATCTGAAGCAAAGACGACTAGTTGTATGACATACCCTATTCGTACGCATTGACTCGTGCCTTAGGGGGGGACTGTATTGAATCTCAACGAATGGCCGGCCTGAATCCTAACTCAGGGCAAGATATTTGGAGCCCATTTAACTCAATCAATTGTTTAGCCCATGGGTTTGTGGTTCAGCTAAGATAATTTGATGTCGTTAGTTGCTGAATCTTCGAACGGACACAAGTACTAACACGAGTGCACAATGGGAACTTTGAAAGCGGTTTTGTGTGGTTGTGGGAACGAATTGAACCTTGAAGCGCATGCCCAGCATTCTTTGTCAAGTTTCGTTCGAATAAAGGTGACGGCATTGACGGTATTCCTAATGGAGCCGATATACCATTTAATTTCCAGACAATGTGTGGGGGTATTTTCAAAATCAGGTTAATATTGAAAAGGGAATACGTTTGTTAATGCCAATTCATGTCAAAGCTAGTGAGTGAGTGAATGAATAGAGGTGCTGCAGTAATATCACGACGGGCCAAGGGAAAGTCAAAAAGGCCATAGATTTAAGTCAAAAGGGCCAAACTTTTAGAAAATAGTAAGATTAGAAGAAGCTTGTAACAAAACAGCAGTTTTGACTGTACAAGATGATCCCAGCTCTCCACAAGGGAGCCAGCCTCCCACAGTTACTGACTGACTGACTGACTGAGTTTGGTTTTACGCCGCTTTTAGCAATATTCCAGCAATATCACGGCGGGGGACACCAGAAATGGGCTTCACACATTGTTCCCATGGGGGGAATCGAACCCGGGTCTTTGGCGTGACGAGCGAACTTTTTAACCACTAGACTACCCCCATCACCTCTAAAAAATGTATGATGGTCAGAGCTTGAGACGAGTGAGTGAGTGAGTTTAGTTTTACGCCGCACTCAGCAATTTTCCAGCTATATGGCGGCGGTCTGTGAATTATCGAGTCTGGACCAGACAATCCAGTGATCACCATGCAGCATGAGCATCGATCTGCACAATTGGGAACCGATTGAGACTGGAATGTTTGAATCATTCTAAGAACAAAGTACAAACCGATCCTTCATTTCAAGGTCCGGCACAGAATTGGTCTTCATCAACTCATGCTTGGTTTAAGAGAAGACTAACGGGATCGGGTGGTCAGGCTCGCTGACTTCGTGGTCACATGTCATCGTATCCCAATTGCATAGATCGATGTTCATGCTGTTGATCACTGGGATTGTCTGGTAAAGACCCGGACCGCCGCCATATAGGTGGAATATTGCAACATTAAATCAACAAACAAATCTTGTTACTATGCTAACCAGTCGGCGTTCCTCGGTATCTGAGGCCATCACAGGCCAAACGTTAGCAGTGGAATTAAGACGATACTATTACAGGCACAGGGGCGTGTCACGCTTAGAAACAGCGTTAAAAAGACATATAGGTCAGGGGCGGATACAGGATTTTCGTTTGGGGGGGGGTGCACCCCAATCCTCGGAACCCTTGGCATAAAACATGTAGTACATTTGGAACACTCTTGACCCTACCCTAGTACTATATAAAAGGAAAGGGATGTAACGACGGAACCACCCCCTCCTCAATCTAAGTTAGATTTCACCACGTAAACTATTTTTAAGGCCCCGTCGCAGCCTACGGATCAAAAGCGAGATGATTTCCCTACAAAATGAGCTATAAATGGTCACAATCGGATCATTATTTCAAAAGTTATACGCCACGACTCACCGAAAACAGCAACCTCCGCAATTCCAAGCCAAAATCATGGATCACCCAAGACAGCGAAAACTCACCTTTTAAATTCGTTTATTAATTCCAGCCACGTTGACAGCACCTATGTAGGGCTAGATTCGATCGGCAGCGGCATTCCACGGGTCTAAAAACTTATTGCAACATCTACAAATCATTTCCTCGACAGTAAGCAGGCATTTTCTCCAAAACCATCGGCAATCATATTCACTCGTCGGCCCATAGATGGCTGGAATATTGCTAAAAGCGGCGTTAAACCAAATTCATTTACTCACTCACTCACTATTACAGGAAGTCACCAGCATATGCGTGTATACACATACCAGGGAACTATAAATTACAGACCTATTTCTGTCAGTTAGTATAAACAGAGATTATAACCGAGTGTGTTTCCGTATCATTATCATATATTAGGAATAAAATGCGAGCCTTTGGCGAATAAATTTTATTCCTAATGTATGACATTAATGATACGGAAACACACGAGGTCAATAATCTCTTTATCATATAATGTCATTCTTAAAATTACTCTAAAAATAGAAGCAAATCGTACGTGAATATATATTCGCATTCGCGTAAGAATACTTAGCGGTACACCAAGGTGAAGGTCGTTCATGACGGCGGCATATAGTTGTGACTAGTCGCTAATACAGTGCAAACATAACTCATGCTTAAAATGAGATCTTTCTGTCTAAAAAGAACAACAAAACGATGCATCGAACTATCGATGGATTGCAGTTGTTGAGTCTCCGATAGCAATTAATCGATGGTAGTATGTGTGGCTATCGATAGTTTAGTAATTACAGGAAGTTTAGTCGATCTGGGTTTCAAGCTTCTTGTCGGTTATAAAAGGAGACTGAAACACTTTCAACTTGTTTTTATTCCAATTAAGCTAACATTCATTTGGGAAATGACTTCAAATGAGTGAGTGAGTGAGTTTAGTTTTACGCCGCACTCAGCAACATTCCAGCTATATGGCGGCGGTCTGTAAATAATCGAGTCTGGACCAGACAATCCAGTGATCAACAGCATGAGCATCGATCTGCGCAATTGGGAACCGATGACATGTGTCAACCAAGTCAGCGAAACTGACCACCCGATCCCGTTAGTCGACTCTTACCTTCAAATGAGACAATTCAAGGAGAGAGAAAAACTGGTCGCAATAGACTATCACTGTTACTGTTGGTTCTCCCTCAATAGTCCCCCCTAATTATGGATACTATGTTTTAAGACCGAAAGTTTTGCAAATTTTCTTTGTAACTTGTGGAAGAGTTTTTCTTTCCACGACGTAACCCTTTGAGAATCATTCTGAAAATCACCT